GCAGTACATTGTTTATGTTAATTGTGAAAGTAATATCATAAGATAGACTTTAAAAGAGAAGAATGGGTCGTGGCTTGTTGTTCAGGGGTGATGGTGGATCCCGCAGCCAGACCAGTTGAGAGCCACTGTTCTACATGAGTGCAGAAAACAGTATACTTTCCACAAGTTAAGCTTCTGCATTTTCCAAATGCACTAGTATTAGTCAAATGTAATTTTCGGTTTGTAAGCGCCGTACCGAACTGTTTAATATGAATACTTAAATAGTTACAGCCTTAGAAACGAGTAATAGCTGTGGCGCCATCATGAGGTTATAAGGTGGTATTTCAGCTGCAGGACAGCAGTGAAGGCCCAGGTATAAAATGCACAGCCCGCCACTGCTACGTACACATTAATGTATCCGAAATAATAATCTAATAATATTGAGTAATATTGAGTTGAGCATTGAGTGGTTTTACTTTTTACACTTTAAAGTGTAACTTCACCCCCAGGTCAGAGCCTAAGTCCACCCGCCGCATCATTTTGAAAAACGCTATAAAGAGGGCAAAACGCAGCGTCGACAAATATGACAGCTACAATAGCTATATGGCATGAGCCACTGAATTTGATAAATTTACAGTTTAACAGACCACAAATGGGACAAGAATCACACCCTGCAGTCTCTCTGCTGGGAGTCTTTGATGGGAGAAGAGCCCGCCCAGTGTCATGGCGGGTTGTGAAATAGTCACAAAATGCAATGTTTTCGTATACATGGACAGGATTTCTTTACTGTGTTGCTCAGAGTGAAAACACTGCCAATGAAAAGATATTTAGAATCCATATTTGTGGTGGACACAAGACTTACACGCATCCACTTGACGATGCAATGGTCAGTAATTCAATATTGAGAAAGACCAGTTTAGAATGTAGGAGGGGAAAGATACGGGTCCAACAAACTCTCAAACAAACTTTTAACAGCGAGAGCGGTGTTAGACAAGTGTTGTGGTTTTGTTGCCTAAACTTTTGTGGCGGTTTATCTAAACCTAAGTGGTTTTGTTGCAAAAACCTAACTATACGTAGTTAATTTAAGCCCAACCATGATCTTTTTCCGAAACCCAACTTTAGTTTTGTAACGTAATGTCACCCCGAAAAAGAAGTTGTTCGGAGAAACAAGAAAAAAAACTCAACTCAAACTCAGCCAGCTTAAACCCTCAAGCCTCCGTCTCCGGAATGGCCGTCCACTCTCCTCCCGGCTGTAGTCCCCTGGTAGAGGGGAGCTGGACACCAGCCCTCTGTTCCTCTCATTTCTCTAACCGGTGTGACGTTACCATGAACAGGGAGGAATTAGCAGGCTAACGTTAGCTACTTGCTTTTGTGCTGTGACTGCAATGCTACACATTGGCTACAGACAAAGCAAAAACGATAGATGCTATGAGTAGAGGTGAGCAGGGGGTCTGATCAAGAGATTTACATTTTTTTTTGCAGTGGAGCCAGTTTTATTGAAGTTAATGGGGCGAGAAAGGTAACTCCCACAACCCAATCATATCTGTGATGTTTCCCTTTGACTGAAAAATGCTTCCAGACAATTACAAAATAACACATTATGTGATGTTGTTATTATCTAAATGTTTGTCTTTGTTTTTGGGCTCTTTCCAGCAACTTTACTCAAGATGGCTAAATCATGATACACGTCCCAACTTAACGCCAACCAGACTGCAATTATAACCAGATGAACGTATTAATGACTCAATGATAATAACTGGTCAGACTCAATGATATGGCCTGTCAGAGGTAGGCAAATAAAGGACTTAACTTTATGCTACAATGCCTGCAGTTTGCCTCTGATTTACATTCATACTTGTCATCCAGCCTATGTTACTAGCTTGCAGGCACATCATGACAGCGATTAAGCTGAAGAGGCTCACCAGCACTGCAGCTCCCTGTCTGTTTCCTTTGCACCTTCTGACTAACAATAACAGTTTTATCTCCCAATGAATGTAGGACGTCTCGCCAGAGATACTGCTAGCTAACGTTAGCCAAACCAAAGTGCAAATGCTAATTTAGCTCATTGACAAAAAAATGAACAAGTACCATGAAGGTCCAGATTCATAGAGGCATAACGTTATTAAAGGTTTGAACCTATTCACCTGTGTTTCCCCTTAAAGTGAGTAATAAGTAAACTGCAAGTTTTCTGTGTGAAACCTCAAAACTAACATGTGGTTGCATATTGTTATTTTTGTGCCAAATAAAGGATTGAAGCTCATACGTTTTAGGACAGTCACATGTGACACTTGACGAATAAAGTGAGTATGCATTGCCCTGCAAAGTGCAGAGTCTATGAAGCTGTGCCCTCAGTCAGATTCCTGCTGATTGCAGTGCAGTGGCCTAAGCCTCAGTAAATTCCCCTTTTGATTAGAGCCACAAATAAAGCTTTTTTGGCCACTGAGCTGTGACAATAGACAGTCTGCTCTCTAAGTCCAGCCAGCCTGGTATGCAGGGCAGCGACTGCCACAATGGGATGGCATAACACAAAGGCAGGACTTGTTTTTATCTGACAGTGCTAGGTTTTTAGCCCTGCTAGCAAAGCAAAGGGCCCTCGGGGCTTGTTTGGGTGTAAGGAACAGCATGGACTCCAGGGGCCGCTAACAATTCAGAATTTGATCACGTTAGCTTCTCAAATCAGCAAATCCCTGCTAGTCTTTTTTGTAGTTTGCTTTTTTATTTGTGTACATACAGATGAAAACGGATGTGATTTATACATCGAACCTTCCAAACTAATAAATACAACAATGAAATAATTAAATGTGAAGAAGTTATTAAAAGACGATGGGAGTGAAAGTGTCAGGAACATATTTTTATGGATTAACCCACATGTCGTCACTGAGTCACAAGCGTACTTATTTTAGCCAAATCATAGTTTTTTATAACCATAACCAAGTAGTTCTGTTGCCTAAACCTAACCACTACCCTTAAACAATGTTATTAACCATGTGTTACATTGTTAATCGCGACTGCTTCACAACATTAACCACACGCCAACCTTCTGCGTCAAGATGCTTTGCAATGGCATCGGGGGGGGGCTTCTGCGTAATATGTAAATTAGGGATGGGATCACATTGACGAATCAGTTGATCTCCATTTAAAAAACTGAGAAGATGCTTTTTTGTCTCATTCAATGTGGATTCATAACATTCTATCTAGATCGTATATTATTTGTTGATTCTTTGAATTTCTTTATAAACATGCACAAATTCATTTTTATATGGTCTATATTCTTTTAAATGTACTGATGTCATGATGGGGTCTCATCGTCGAAAATCCAAATTTTTCTGCAATTTGACTTTTGTGCGCTACGTCAAATAAGTGAATGTTGTTACTCTTTAAGCCCCTCTTTCATTAAAGTCTTTGATAGCAATATGTTTTGTACCATGGACAGCATGGATAGCAATTCACATGAGTTTTTTTTTGCTGGTTTGAAACTCCATAGTATCGACGACCCCAATCATCAGGATATAAGATGTCCAACCCTGTAAAACTGGAGCGGACGTTACATTAGACGAGGTTAAAAAGATCATTAGGGAATTACAGAGTCAGGAAGTCTCTGCGAGGACAGCCTTCCACCTGATTTGATGTCATTATTCCATAACCATCACATTTTGCAATCAACATTTACTTCATAATGATGGGTTAAAGTTACTGTGAGTAACTTAAACTGGTTATGAAATTGTCTAAATTTAATACTGATGCCTCTATACAACCTACATAAGTAAACGAGACCATCAGCGAGAAGATTGACTATTTCTACACAGTTATTCTTAATACTTGACATTGCGACGGAGCCAGATCTGGCTGCTGCCTTCAACCTGCTGGCTGTGCTCCGGCGGGAGGAGGAGGGCTCCTGGCTCGACAGTAGCAGATCCTCTTCCTGCCAGGAGCCTCGCTGCCCTGACGAGTCCAAAGACAAGCTGGTGGTCGGTAGGGTCTTTCACGTGGTCCAAGAGGGCCTGTGCATCGACTTACACCTGTAAGTCATTGCAGCCAGGTGAAAAGTTATACCACTGAAGGTCAGCAAAAAAAAAAGACTTTCAGGGGATGATAAGTTGCTCTTTAATAAACATGTCTAAGTTGGTCAACATGGGGGCTTTAATAGAGGCACAGAATAGACTTTTGGCCCCTGGACTTGCAGGTTTGGTGTGCCTCTTCGATACATGTGGGATCTCAAATTAGGGAAGGACTTATTACTATTTTATAAATGCAAACATAATTTGTCATAGATTGAATGACCATTTAAGATCATCTGTTTTTGTCAATATGCTTATGGTACACATGCATTTGTATGTCCATACTATTGTAGGCTATGTCAACAAATATACAATATATACAGTGAAGACGATTCCAAGGTGTTAAATGGATAACTTTTAAATACATGTATGCACGAATCAACAACTGCATATACAGTAGCTATATATTCCAAATGATACAATGAAATAAAAATGTAACCAAGTAAAAATTAAAGTACAGTTTACAATCAGTATAACTACAGACTAGACAAATACAGAATAATTATATATTAAATAAAAACTATTACAACATTTTGGAAAACTTAATCTGTGTTGTTAGACTCTGCTGAGATGGCACTCTTAATGGCTGTAGTGTTTGTAAAACCTCGGCTGCCTTTGTTCACTGTTAGTCGTACTTGATGCAGTATGAAGGAGGGGTCTGCAGCACACTTTTCCCATGTGCGGGTCTCTGCACAAGTTGTACACTTGAACCCGCCCCTCTCTGATTTTTAGTCAATTCACTCTGTACAATTTACTCTGATAAGCATTTCAAACCAGAACCCTGCCGTGATAACGGACCCGTATCACGACTAGCGTCCTATTTCAAAATAAAAACAAAAGTAGCGTGTTCCAAGCACGGCGCTCGCGCTTTCTCCACCCCTTTTCACCAAAACGGGATCTCCGCGAGCCGTTTCGTCACCACGCCAATCACCGCGTGGCTGCAGAGAACACCACGCCCTCTGTTCTCCGTGTGTGCTGTGGGAGCTGGGACATTTTGTCTATGAAGGTGAAGTAGTCCCTACGTTTCGTTATCAACAGCGACAGAGCGCCACGCTGCTGATAGGCTGGCGTTTAACCTCTCCGAACGTCAACCAGACAGACGTAAGGACGTCAAACTTGATTAGTTTAGCGTTTAAGTAATGAGAGATAAACACGTCCTCCCTTCATGCTTACTTTCAACAAAGAAGAAGTTATGGATATTTGCGACGGGAAGAAGAGGAGACAGGTAAGCGGCGGCGTGCGGGGCTGCAGGCGGAGCGTGTCCGTGAAGATGAAGCGGGAAGTGGGCAAAGTCCTTCGCTCCCTGACGGTAGAGGATAACAATTGTACGGAGCCCATGGAGGAGGAGGAGGAGGAGGACGACTGCTTCTCCATTAGTTTCCTCCGGAACGACCGGCTGGAGCCCGCCGTGTCGGTGTCTCCGCGCTACAGCCTGATGCGCGAGGTCGGCCGGGGGAGCTACGGAGTGGTTTACGAGGCCGTAGCCCGGAAAACGGGGGCCAGGGTGGCGGTGAAGAGGCTCCAGTGCGACGCCCCGGAAAACGTAGAGCTGGCGCTGGCCGAGTTCTGGGCTCTGACGAGTCTGGAGAACCGACACCAGAATGTGGTCCAGCTGGAGGAGTGCGTCCTGCAGAAGAAGGGCCTGGCGCAGAAGATGAGCCACGGAAACAAGCGGTCCAAGCAATACCTGCGCCTGGTGGAGACCTCCCTCAAAGGTATGCAGGCTACACGAATAGCAATACTGCAAATGGTGAAATAACACATGCATCATTTTGAGAGTGCCCCCTACTCCAAATGCATGTCTATTAAATTACACTTAATACGTAGTGAACAATCTGGCAGTGGTTTTGCCAGCTTAAACTCTAAATCCGTGTTTGAGCCCTTGTATTAAAGGATGTGCTGTCTCATGCTTTCACTAATGCAGCTACAAAATGCTTCAGCGTATGTAAACACGCGCTATAGGGTCTGTGATTGATGGCAGTTAGTGGAACCAAAACTGTTCTGCTTTAAAGATGAATACAAATACTGCTACATCTGTACTTAAGGCTCATTCACTGAAAAATGATTTTGTGAATTAAAAGTAACATTGAGCCCTTTTGCAGGCCCTCTGTCTGTCAGTGACGCTGCTATACGTTACTTATAGTAGGCACAGAGTACACTGTGTGTCCCTCAGCTCACAAGAGAACACGGTGTACTAGTTGGCAGCATGCTAACCCAGGGCTGGTTGACTTCAATTCCCGACACTAAACAATGACGGAACAGTGTAATGTTGGATGCTATCATGAAATGCTGCAGATTTATTTATTGTGTATATATATATATATATATA